TCCAACGTCCCTGTACGCATTATTGTTACGTTTTCCTGTGTACAAAGCCCAAGGAGTTACTTTTTACTCATCAGGCTGCTCATCTCCAGAGGCAAATCAAAAGTTTCTCATCATTACACGGGATTAGGCCAGCCGCCACCTCCAATAATCTGACTAGGGACTCCCTGGGCTCATCACGCCTGGAAACTCTTATGAATAAACAATTCAATCCAACATTTTAGATCTGATTCCACAGATTACCTCAGTTCTATAGTTACTCATACAGAATAAATACTGTGTCACTACTAGTGATGAGTTTTCCAATTATTAAATTTATCAAAAGTTTAACATAACCTTATAGGCTTTACATTTAATTATAATTAAACAATTTAGGAGGGAATTTTTTTATTTATTAAAACACATCAAATTTGCATACATAATAAATAAGTAAATAAATTGATAAATTAATTGTGGATATTTGTAGAACGTGTACTTGCTCTATTTAAGTCCTGAATTTGCGTCAATTGTTAAATTTTACAATAGAAACGGTAATGAGATTTAATTAAACAGGCAATCCTGTCACCCATCTTAAATTACAACTTCAGTTCTTTTCTCCGCAACCATTTCAAAATTAAATTCTTTCAAAAGTTGTAACCATTTATTCAAAGAAGCTGATATTTAAGTAGATAAATGATCTCTTGCGACAGTTTTACTTGTAAGACAAAAGGAATTGCAGAATATTTACTCCATAGGCATTGTAAAGTGGTGGTACATTTGTTTTTATTTCCAGTCAGCATAGCCTATATTATAGATAGTTATTTTTTAAATTGGTATGTCAGTTTAGTTGCATTCCAGCTGATTTTAAATGGAATACGTTGTATTTACCACACATAAATTACGGATTATTTAAACAAATATAGGAATGTATATAAAACAAACAGCAATTAATAAACAAGAGGTTAAGGAGCAAAAGATTAATACGAAAATAACGATAATATATAATGATGGAAGGTTTACAAGGCCAATAATATAATATTTGACTCATAATTTTAAAATGTGCATGCTGTCTTAAACAACGGAACTGTTATGGGACAGAGGCCAGCCGGTATATTTATACATTTTAATTATTATATCACTTTATTCGAAAAAGAGCTATAAGCAACGTTTGGTAAGAAAAAAGAGAGTCACTTACAACTAAAGAACAAGTGTTCCTTATGTATTGGTACAGTTTATAATCCTCGAAAGCAAAATAATGTCAAAGTACGCCTTAAATTAACGATTCAAGTTTTGGTTCATGATCACAGCATCTAAAATACCACTCGAGATCATGATTAATAGCATTACACGTGCAATTAATTATCCAACCATATGACGCTTAAGCCCTAATATAGCTATTTGTATGGATCAATAGGGGCATTAGTTGGTTCGACGCTTAAATCTGATATTTTATATTTCAAATATCAAAGATTACACTGCATGGAAAAAAAATATACTTGTAGCTTACACATATTCAGCTAGAAAGGTTTTGTGGATTAACGTAAAGGATTTGCATGATAATGAGTTATGAATAGAGTACCTAGTTAATAGTTTATGGTTGGTTATATTAGTTACAGCACCGACTGAAAACATTAGAATCCAAAATACACTAACTTGTAAGTTTGGAATTTGGTGAACCATGTTAAAACACATGACAATTATAGATATTGAATTCAAAATATTGATATAATGAGTTTAAACTAACCAATGAATTTGCAAAAATATAAAAGCCTCCTACACTTACCAAACGCTCGAGATTGAAAGACGTCTTATCTGATTTTTCTGCTTTCCACTTCTGAAGTTCAGATAACATTCAATGATTGTTTTTCTTTTATTTAAAAAGTTTATAACATTTCCCAGAGCCTTTGGTAGATTAACAACTTTCAAAGTTGGAACGTCAACGAATATTGATGGTTCAAAACTTCAAACTTCTAATTTTGTAATGTACTTTAACTTGACTTTTTCACACGCAACACGTATTTTCATCGATATTAAATTTTTTGGACAATTCATTTAAATATTATTTTGAGTTTTTTGATATAGTTACTACAACTTTTTTTAACTTTGATTCCACCTTTACCACAAAGTCACATTGATTGAGCCACAAATAAGGAGAAGAAGAACTACTTATAGGGGGATATTAAGTGCTTGACTTATTACTTGCAATTTTTGTAGTGATAAATTTAGGAGCCTCATTTACTTTATACAGAACATTGGCTAAATAACTGTAAATATTAGGACTAAGGGGTTTTGGTTAAGTTTGTTTGAACAATTAAAAATAACTAGTTGCTCTGCCCGTGCTTCGCTACGGGGTGACAATGCAGAAAAGAATAATTCGGTTTTACTTTAAGATACTATAGTATACTATGAGAAACAGTTACAACACACTTACCGGGAAACATATAGGCAAAAGCTCAATCCTGCTTATTGATTATTTAAATTAAGATCTCTTAATGTAATACAGTACTATCATTTTATATAGTGTATAGCATTTAAAATATATGCAAAAGTATAATTCATTGACCACATGCCACAAAGAAACAATTCACCTTGTAAACAAATTAAATTAAATAGCAGAACAGCATTTCTGACAACAGCTGTAGTTTCATAACAATGTTTGTTTCCCATGTTAATCTTATGGAGAAATGCGAAACTTTTAAGGCCCCTGAGGCCTCACTCTCTAATTATTTCCCTAAAAAGAAAGTTTCCTGCACAACTTCACGTTACGTTCTTTCCAATGACACCAAAAACATTGCAAACGATTCAGTAGTTTCGGAGGAGTAATTGTCACAAAAAACCTGCTTGCGTATTAAATAAGTACTAGTGTCCCTGTTGCTCGAATTCGAGCAATTGCTAAGTATGACAGGTGTTATTTTAAAACGAATAACAGTCATAATTTCTCATGATTCGACTCATAGATTATGGTAATACGGTAATACTCAAGATGTACATAACAGATTATATCAATTTATCCAGGCTCTCTGGCTTTTTTCCATTGTAATATTTTTGCCAACCCGAATTCAAACAGTAAATATTCCATTTCAACCAATTCAGTAAATGTTTATAGCAAACTGTTAAATTAGCAAACATATTGACTGTTTACAATTAACATATGTTCTTCTTCTCACTTTTAATTTCTGACAACAGCTGGAGTTTCATAAACATTTTTGTTTCCCATGTTAATCTTATGGAGAAATACGAAAATTTAAAGGGCTCCAGGGCCTCACTCTCTCATTATTTCCCTAAAAAGAAAGTTTCCTGCACAACTTCACGTTACGCTCTTTCCAATGACACCAAAAACATGACAATCGGTTCAGTAGTTTCGGAGGAGTAATTGTCACAAACAATCTGCTTGCGTGTTAAATAAGTAGTACCTGGGGACCGAGCTTTGCTCGGGGAAAATCATTAGTTCACTCTGAAAGCAGTCTTAGTATTGGAGATATAAAGATCCATTCCCAAATTCCACACAGTTCGCCTTTACTACGTCCTACACCATTTTCTACGTCATGGACCTGTTTCCCTGCATTCTCATAGCACTTTAGGATTGTAGATACCTTAATCTAATCGTTATTAACAGATCCCACACTCCGGACAGCTCGCCTTGACTACTTCCTTCACCACTTCCAACGTAGTGGACCTGTTTTCCTCCCTTCCCATAGCATTTCAGAATTGCAGACACCTTAATCTAGTCGTCATAAACAGTTCCCACGCTCCATACTACTTGCCTTTACTACTTCCTTCACCACTTCCTACGTCGCAAACCTGTTTCCCTCCCTTCCCATTTCATTTAAAGATTGCAGATACCTTAATCTAATCGTCATAAACAGTTCCAACACTCCGGACTACTCGCCTTGACTACTTCCTTCACCACTTCCTACGTCGCGGACCTGTTTCCCTCCCTACCCATAGCATTTTAGGATTGCAAATACCTTAATCTAATCGTTATAAACAGTTCCCACACTCCGGACATCTCGCCTTAACTACTTCCTTCACCACTTCCTACGTCACTGACCTGTTTCCCTCCCTTCCCAAAGCATTTCAGGATTGCCCATACCCTTATCTAATCGTCATAAACAGTTCCCACACTCCAGACAGCTCGCCTTGACTACTTCCTTCACCACTTCCTACGTCACGGACCTGTTTCCCTCCCTTCCCATAGCATTTTAGGATTGCCCACACCCTTATCTAATCGTCATAAACAGTTCCCACACTCCGGACATAAACAGATTCCAGACTTCGCACTACTACCCTTGACTATAATGTATCGACTAATCTTCACTATAATCTTTGCTAAATATTAACAAGTGATGTTTTTCCTTTTGTACTGTATTTGTAATTTGCTAGTATACTGTGGGTAGTTGGCTTATTATGAACACATGCTACACTTCAAGTCTTTTGTTTACTTTTTCCTTGTTATTTAATTCAGTCAACATGGTTACCTAGCAACCCATAAGACTAATGTTAAAAAAATGTGATTTTCAGTTTCATTTTTCTACGTAATTAGATTTTTGTTGGCAGTTCTAACTGCAGTAAACTCGTTTTTAGGCCATAAATAAACTATTTACAACATTTGAAGAAAATCGTCGGAGCCGTTTTCGAGATCTTGTTTGCAAGCATACATACAAGCAAACATTGCTCATATTAGAATATAATAATAATATAGGATAGATATAGATAATAAATATTGTGCGATTTGATTTTTAAAAATAAAAAAGCTTAGTCAAACCTAAAATTTCAATAATATCTTTGACGGTTAATAGGACTAGACAATCCTAAAATTCGTTCCCATATTAAATTTACCACTAGATGTTTTATTTATTGATAGTTCTTTTCGATGTTTCTTTCATTAAATGCAGTTCAAATATGTTTTTCAATCTTCAATTTATTTTGTTCTTATGAATACAGTCCACTTAATTAACACGTCCCCCATATTGTATACATATTCCAATACACTCCCCATCACGTCAGCATGCTGCGTGACCCACCTTGTTGGTGGCTACCACACTGGCTCCACAGTTGATGAGTAGTTGAACTGCCTCCGTGTGTCCGTGCCACGCCGCCATTAGTAGGGGTCTCATACCGTACTGCAACAAACAAGTTTATCAATTTATCATTTATTGTCAATTGACAAGTTTATCATTATTGTCTCATTTAAAGTAGTAGCATGTTAACTTGTTGATAGGAACTCATTATTGTTTCATGAATTTGTTGTGTCTGTATTACTGGGTATCAAGAGCATTCCATTATCTTTCGGTATTATTGCACTTGCATGTAACCTATGTATTATTATTAAACTGCAAAGTCTTGTTTGTAAATAGATTGTAGTTGTAATTTTGTTATTAATTGATTGTATATATTGTTCATTATTTAAGTCATTTGAAATCTAGCTGTCTTGATTGTTATTATTAATCAACATTGTAAAAATGGTGGAACCGTTGATAATAAATAAATAAATCAAGTTTATAATCAGCTGAAATTATAAAAGCACTAGAATTTAACAATAACTACTCCTTTAATAGTTGAGATAGAATTATTACCCTTCAATGTTGGGGGAAAAACAACTCTATTACCAGATTGTATTCTAACCAATATAAGAGTTTCAATATGGGTGGGCCTTTTAATACACTCAAGAAGTCTTACCAGTGAAATTCTATGGCTAAGTATTCTGTGGCATCAGCTTGAATACATATTTATTTTAAAAGGGTTCCCTCAGAAAAAATGTTAAAAATGCAAATGACGTGGATAGGCCTAAGGAAATAAATTAATAAAACTATTTAAGTGAATCAATTGTAGAGCACCTAAAATATAAATTTTGATATTGATGGAAAGAAAAAAATACATTTGATGTATATAAGTAAATGCCGTAAACAAATTATTATAACGATATCGTAAAATTACGAGGAAGACTCGATGGAACGTGTTAAATGGAAAGGCTAAAAACTAAAACAAAACAGAAGTGGTTGCGAACTATTATTTACTAACGAATGATAAATATGAGTAAAAGTGTTTTAAATGCATTCGTTATTCCTTTTTATGAAATACACAAGATCATTTCATGTCTTTGGATTTATTTATGAAATACGTCTCACCCCTAGGCAGACCACTCTAGCAGTTGTGTTTATTTACCCTTCGTGACGCTCAGTGGAACACACGCCTGGGCTTTTACCTGATTGTAGTAGCCTTTTAAAGTGATTTGCATTACATTGCACACTAGGTCATACAATCTTTTTAAATTAAAAAAAGAGTTCTAGATTTAGTTTAAATTTTCGAGAGTTAGTTACTGTTTTGATTTGTTACATGGCAAGACTAGTAAAGTGCATAATATAAGGGAATAATGCTATAAGTATAAAATTATAAGTTATGGTGTTGAGTTACAAGAGTAAATTTAAAGTCCAATTACGTAAACTCAACAATATATTTACCCGATCTCTGGCCTCGATGTCGCATTTAGCGTTGATCAGAAGCTCCATGATGTCTGTGGCCCCTCGCGACGCGGCCCAGTGGATGGGGGCTCTTCCATACTGGAAATGAGAAAAGCTACATTGCATCAACAGTTCGAAACAGCTAAATTAAGATCTTAGTATCTTAGAGCTAGCTTAGCTATACAAATAAGGTGACACCTTGGTACGAGAGTGGGACAATTAGGTATAGCAGTTCAGATTCCCACATTAGCTGAGATAATTTTTGTAGCCCGGTTGTTTAAAATTATCTTTAGTAAAGGCTGATAGCACATGCAATTTTGGTATGTGTGATAGCAGCTTGAAGTTAGCATTTTTATTTGAGTTGTATTGAAAAAAATAGTTAACTATGGTTTTTAGTAAAACTATTTACATAGAACAATTTTTTAAATGATTTATGATACAGATGAGTTTTAAACACATACAACTTAATCATGATTAATTGTAATTGTTTGCATGTAAAAATTACTTCGAACAATTTTGTCTGTGTAGTTAATAAATTGGTTGGTTGTGTTGCTAGCCTAGTGGTTAGCATCTGGGACTTCGGTGCAGGAGGGACGGGTTCAATCCCCGGCAGATCCACAAAACTTTAATGGGTTTGGACCCCATTCCCTTACAAGTGTTTGAAATGACTTCATAACTAAAATGCCACTGGCGTAGATACGAGCAAAAAAAAGTAATACGTCCTCTCAAAACGAAGTATTATGGCAGTCATATCGCTGAGGCAGGGCAATAATCCCGCCCTTTCGGAGACATCTGTAGTTAATGAACTATTCACAAAGTCAGACAACACAGCTGTCCTAAAGTGCACTCTCGCCATCATGTTGATTGTTTTCACTGCACACCATGTTGTGGTTACATGTTGGTTTTGACTAAGATAATTAATTAAATTTATTGTTAGCACTTTTTGGCAAACTTTGTATCCAGGCCATCAGGTGTTGCAACTGTCTCAGCTTAAAAATAATAATATTTAGAAAAGGTTTTGACATTACTCTTTCCCTAACCTAAATAACGTCAAATATTCTGAATTTTTATACTTTTCAGTAACATAAATTACTAAAAAGTGTATACGTAGAATTTCATAGGAGAAAGGAAGACAGATAATGAGGAGTTATACGTAACATGCTAGCCAATAAGATACACTATATGCTATTGAGATTGATAGGAAAGGACATAAAAATAATAATTAAAAAATAAAAATAAACTACAGATTTAACATTATCCTACAGTAAATAAGATCTCCCACACTCTAAACATTACCTAATACCTTCAGTATCCAATAGTCAATGCTAATACTAATTAAATCAGAGGATATAGCGTACTTATATATTTTATACAAGTAAAAGTACACTCTTTGAAACCCAATCGCAATTTTTTCTTACTAATATTTTTACTGTAATGTAAAACCAACATGTAATATATCTCGGTATATGGTTTAGGTTTCTGTGGTGCTTGATAATAAATTATTAGCGACTCCAGAAATTATTAAATAACTAACTACCATAATGCATTTAAAACAATTAACAACGAAAATGCGAAATTACAAGCAGAAGTAAATAAAACTATAATAACCAAAACATTAATAAAAGCTAAATATTGAATTATTATGATTCTTTTTCAATAATTCAACTTTACATCATACCTAATAAATGTATTTTATAAAGAATTTATCTAATACAAATTTAATAAAAACAAATATAGATAAGAGTATACTCACATTATTCCTAGAGTTTATGTCCACGTGCTCCTTGAGTACTTTTTTAACCGCATCCGGGTCATTTTTGATGACCGCCTCGTGTAGAAGAAGATCATTTTTCAGCACTGAAAAATATTGTTAGTTTTATTATTTAAGGAAATGAACCCCATAGAATTAATATATAAAAACAAAAGTAAGACGATAAGTATAGTCTATCATAAAGAAACCTCTTAATGTCAAGTCTACAAATTTATTCGTGGGGGCAACAGTTCATGTACCTGAAGAACTATTTTTTTATTCTTACAGTTTTAAGGGTATTTAAAATGATATTTATTTGGAAAACCTTTTGCATATCTTACGATTCGATACTGTAACTATTCACGACTTAAATTAACAGTATCATTCAGTACAAACCGGAAGGAAAATCATTGGACGAACTGTTATTATTTGTAAGTGAACAAAGTCTCTGTTTACTTAAAACGCATTGTTCTACTAGGTTTTGGTTGTTCAATCACTTTTAAAACATTACAGTATCTAAAACTGTGTTGAACATGTTTTAAGCTTTCATATATCCTTATTACGCCTGTTAAAATAATTAAGTCCAGTAAATTAAGTGCAGAGTAAAAACTGTGTAAGTTTGTCAACGGTTTAGTAAAATTATTTTTTTTTGGGTTTGAACACAATAAATCATTGATTTGCAATACTATAACAGTAGAGACCATATATATACATAAACCATCTTTTTTAATTATTATAATAAATCTTACACGTAAGCTTAAATAGTTCGTTACCACTGGCTTAATCAACACTTAAGATCTGTTTCGGGAAAGTACGCGCGTTTCTGTGTGACAGTAGGTGTTAAAATATTGACGAGACACAAGAGGCAAACATGGCCGGTGAGTGTCTCTAGGTAACAGAAGATATACATAAAGGATATTTGTAAAAAAATAATCTAATAATGTTGAACTACATTAGTTACTACTATACAATTTCTTTTTATAATTTCACAGTTTAAAGAACATATTATAACGTGGTGTTAATCACTATATTATGTTGTGCGATGAAGAAGATATAATGTGTGCGCCATGTTAAACACAATTTAACATTTTGATTTGTATAATACAACACATTATGTCATGATCTCTTATGTAATGCAGTATTATAGGGTAGCATTGTGAGGCTAGCTAGCGAAACCTTCCACCCTCCTCAGCAATTGCCCCAGATATTGTGTAATGCAACTTATAATATTAATTGTATTGATTAAAATAAAGCTTAGTTTACTATTTCCGCTGATTCTTTTATAGGTTAAAATTTCACTGGGGTTTATAAATACCTTAAAAAGTAATTATATTAGTATGTATTGCCGAAACATTTACTCTAATAACATACTTTTTATTTTCATATTGATGGATGTTAGACTCTGGATTTCTGTGTAATACTTAAAGTGGTTTACGAATTGGATTATACGAATGCAGGCATCTAAACCTCAAGTATTCGTTTTATATTGTCCTGACACCATTTGCTGCTATACCCAATATATAACCATACGATAACCAATAAATATATCCTCTACATTCTGCAGTCTCTGTTTTACAGGCAACCAGATATATGCAAGGTAGACGAACGAAGTTTTGCATATCAAAAGCTTGGTTTCTTAGTCCGCTGAGTGCATTTGCATACGAAGCGCAAAGTGTGAGAATTGAATAGATTTATTTTGTATTGGAGCTTTAAATTGTATCAAAACTTGTACTTAGGCATTAACAATCATAAGCAAATATCAATTACATACAAAAATACTGCACAGAAAAAGGAACTCATTACAGTATTTAAAATATAACAGTCAATTAAAATGTCTCTGATTTATAGAAGATACAGGGAGCGGCAAAATGATCTGACGGTTTTCTTTGCCGCCCTGTCGAGCGAATGAGTGGCGTAGGGTGGTGGGAATAGGGGCGTTACAAAGCCAACGTGTGAACATTTTTAGTAGCCACGGAGCCGTGGGACAGCTGAGAAACATGTATTTGTAGTAGAAGTGTTTTTAAAAGTGGAAATTCCTGTATAGCTGTTCAGTACACTTTTCAATATGGGTCCAAGGGGAAAAGTCCCAACTCAAAAAACCATTTTGCTGTGAGTAGGTAACTTTAGAGCTACTAGTATAGCATTGAAAAAAGTCAACAGGCTGTCCAATGTCAGCTCGGACACCAGAGAGCGCCGAGAGAGTGAGATACGCTGTGGAAGTTAGTCCTCAGCAGCCTAAACGTAAATAAGATGCAGCTCTGCACTTGTCTGGCCGCTCAGTAGAAGAGTATTACAATACCGTCTGCATTTTCATTCATACAAAATGGCAATCGTGCAACTGCAACAGTTGAAGCCCAGTGGTTATGCAAAGCGCATCTCTTTTTCAGAACAAGTAGTGATGACAAAGTTGTCATTATGAGTGACGAATCACACTTTCAATCACGCCACATAGTCTTTCTCACTCTCTTTAGTTTCACACCACGTAGTCAGATTTTAGTTTCAATGCTGAACTAGTAGCTCTAAAGTTACCCACCTACGGCAAAATGGTGTTTCGAGTTGGGACTTTTCTTCATTGACCCACATTGAAACGTGTACTGAACAGCTACACAGGAATTGCCACTTTTAAAAGCACTTCTACTACAAAGTCATGGTGCTCAGCTGTCCCACGGCTCCGTGGCTACTAAAAATGTTCACACGTTGGCTTTGTAACGCCTCTATTCCCAACACCCTACGCCAATCACTCACTTGACAGGGCAGCAAAGAAAACCGTCAGATCATTTTGCCGCTCCCTGTATTAAGATTTAAAAAATAAAAATATATATTTATAGCTTTCAAACTATGAAGCTGTTAGATACTTACGATAACGCATTCATACAAATGGTCGATAGCTTTGATGAATGAAGCATACGGCAAAAGTACAATGAAGTAGATCCAAGCTAACTATCTTTCCTACCTCTATTGATATATTATTTTTTTTGTATGGGACGATGGCTAGATGACTATATTAAGGTATGTAACAGTGTACAGGCAAGAAATAAATTCTCAAAAGTAAAAAACAAAAATCAACAATTTTGCTATGGAAACGGTACATTGACACCGTACTCGACCAGTTCATCTGTGTTCAGACACTTGATTGCTGTGAGTATTGCAGCCAAATGCAAGCTCGGTGGTTGCTCTAAGAGTGACGGTTGGCAGAGCTATTTTAAGCTCGTCCTCCCTCAGGTAGCAATAACTCACGATATCTCTCCAGAGGCTCAGGCCTCTTGGGTTCAATATTGCACAACTTCTCCATCTCTACGTGAGCGTAAACATAAACATCTGTGTGGAGAAAGCTTTCTGTAATCTCGTAAACCTGAACAACTTTTTGGTTTTATTTTTCGGTTGTCGTTTTTAGGCAAGCGAATAGATATCTTTGCTACGTTCAAATGGTGTTTCAAGTATTTAAAATGTTAACCATGCCAATTAATTATTTATAATTTTGGCCAGTCAGACGTATCATGAAAGTAATAGCTTTTGGATACCAAAATAGACATCCCAGACCAGCCATAAAAATATTTAGAAAATATTTGAGTACATGATATTGCTAACAAAACAGTATGTATAACAGTAGGTATAAAGAACATACTTTTGGACTTAAAATATCTCAACATGTTTAGCCTCTGAATCACGTAATTTACTAATAAAAGGTTAAATACCTGTAGTACTTGTCCGTGATCCTGTGTTTTAGGTCAGCGACCCAGGTTTCGAACCTAAAGGTTCATTTTCAAGCTGATACCATCGTTAAACTCCTTCTAAACACATAACACGTTTGTGTTTTCGTTTTCGTGTTCGTGTCTTCAACGACTCTTCACAGTTATGAAGAGGATTTATGTGTTTAGAAGGAGTTTAACCATGGTATCAGCTTGAAAATGAACCTTTAGGTTCGAAACCTGGGTCGCTGACCTAAAACACAGGATCGCGGACAAGTACTACAGGTATTTAACCTTTTATTATTAAAATATCTACCGATCATTAAATTTTCAAATTCTTATTTACAATTAAATTTAAGCACACTTAAAATTTGAAGGTTAGTCTTTTATGATTTTGTATAGGAAGCTTCTACCGATCTTAAATCCACGCTTATATGGATGTAGGCGCTTAGGCGTGGATTAAGGCAAATATATTAAATGGACTAGGAGACAAAAGCTTTTGGTATGCAAAACTATGTTTGTTCACAACCTGTTCATTGTTTATCTATTTGGCTTGACAAGCCTTTTAGGCCATCTTCTATGTTCGGTGACTTACTTTCTGAGTATTCTAAGAACATACTTGAAATAGTCTCACTCCATCAATGGTAGGCTAAATTTGGTTGAACTTAAAAACTTTATGTAAAGAAATTAAATAAAAATATAAAAGTACTTCATAAAATAAATAAACATGGAACACCAGTTATTAATACGACTACAATGTTTATAAACAAAAATGGCAGCCGTGTTATTCACATTAATGTTATTGGTAAAGAAAGTCTTTGCAATAGAACAATTTGTAATATGCAATTGGAACGCATGGTTAAGAAAAAACAGTAAGATGCTTATCTCGAGCATTGCTTACCTACTTTGGTTTACACAAACTTTACTTTAAGAGCAATACTTCTATATTAAAAACTTGTTTATGTGACGACGAAAGCTGCGTTGTTAAGCTGACATCGCGTTGTCATGTTAAGTGTATATGTTAAGTGGTTGCGTTCTCATTGAATATAAACTGACTGCTGCTGGTGACTATGGGCAATCTACTAATGTGCCAAAAGTAGATAAGCTCCAAAATTTTGGGTGAACCAAATTAATAGTAAGGCAACAAATTAATATAGTAACGTTAACGCCTATAAGTACTATTTAAACGTGTTAACAACCTTTCATTAAACGACAAATTGAATCAAATATTGTTTTTGTCTAACCAGAGCTATTCTAAGTATAGAGTATCCTAGATTTGTAAAAAAAAAACAATTGTTAGCCTATACCATTTTGCTATATTTATTAACTAAACGGAATATTTTGTTCGCAACCATTATTATTAAGTTTTTTATTATACTTTTAATTGAAATATCTTTAATTACTATAATACCTCTACTGCTTCTTCTGCTTGAAGATACGGACTCCTCAGAAGCGTCATCGAGCTCAGCATTCAGCATGACGTCACGGCAGCCATCTTGCTGAAACAATGTTACCTCAAATCAGTTATTAAAGTAAATAAAAAAATTGAAAATAATGCATTTGATATACAAATTTTTAATTGCAGACTGATTGTGCTGATCGAAATTACTTATTTCTGTTAAATACTTAAACTTTTTACCAAACTAAACTAATGAAATGACTTATTGTGTACCACCTATTTCAGCAACACTAAATAAGGCTGAACAAATAATTTATAAATAAAAAACTTTTTTAAAACAAAACGTTTTTAAATGCACTAAAAAGTAGAAAATAATTTTTAAATATGTGGAAAGTATAAATACTTGTAAGATTTAAAACGAAAAACGTGGGGTGCATGCAATAGATGATTTACAATTACCTTCACCTATTGAACTAAAGTATTATTATCAATTGCATGCACCCCACGTTTTTCGTTTTAAATCTTACAAGTATTTATACTCTCCACATATTTATAAATTATTTTCTACTTTTTAGTTTTTAATGTGTGTGGGTGTTAACTATTTCATGCATCTATATCAGATTAAGACAGAGGAATGTGGGAAATCTAAGGTTTATTTGAGTTTCTTTTCATATAATTATGTATTAGATTGAATGTATGGCCTACCTACTAAATATAAATATATCAATCTATTTAATTTATTGTTTAGGTTATAGAATACTAAATAAATAACAAATGACATTATTAACAAACTCCTTTATATCTGCAATCAGATTGTTTATCTTTATTTTGAAATGTTTGTTTGTATTAAGAATCTCTTGGGAGCAGAACCTGTACCTCTTAACATCTGCTTTTTGAACTGTCAAATTTAAGTATTTACAGCTGACTTTAATTAATTGATATATTTACATTCTTTCAAAATGTAAACATGGAAAATTTGGAAGCCAGTGGGGCGTAGCCCAAGGGAAATATGAAAATTAAATGCTATAATATTGCATTGTCATCCACTTGTGAGCTATGTTTCAAATTTCAAGTCTCTAGCTCATCGGGAACTTCGTTTAAAATTGATATAAAAATTTGGAGGAAAGTGAGCTAATAAAAACAAGCCCATGGGGCGTAGCCCAAGGTAAATATGAAAATTAAATGATATAATATTGCATTGTTATCCATTTGTGAGCTATGTTTCAAGTTTCAAGTCTCTAGCTCATCGGGAAGTATCAAAATTTTCAAGAAAGAGAGTTAATAAAAACAAACCCGTGGGGCGTAGCCAAAGGGAAATATGAAAATTAAATGATATAATATTGCATTGTCTTCCATTTGTGAGCTATGTTTCAAGTTTCAAGTCTCTAGCTCATCGGGAAGTATCAACATTTTCAAGAAAGAGAGTTAATAAAAACAAACCCGTGGGGCGTAGCCAAAGGGAAATATGAAATTAAATTATATGATATTGCATTGTCTTCCATTTGTGAGCTATGTTTCAAGTTTCAAGTCTCTAGGTCATCGGGAAGTTAGTATAAAATTGATTGCAAAATTTGTACCGGACAAGAAAGCGAGCTAATAAAAACGTTTTAAAAATACAGTAGCGCATTCTTCCACTGGTTCATACAACGATGTTCTTTTTTAATAAAACAAAATTGGTGTCAGCTGGTCCATATAGATGGGATGTCTACTTCGGTATCTAATATTCAATGGTTTACACAATTCTGCATAGGTTGATTAAAATATCAACATATGTTAGATCAGAGTAAGTAACTCGGCAGCGTTTATAAATTTTCAGGTACTGTAGTTATATTTTTATTCGAAGTCAGTCAGGTTAAGGAATTAGGCTCAGTATGTGCTGTAAATTAGATCTTACACCAACCATTATATTAATGATTTAATTTAACAATTTAAGTTAATAACTTCTTGCAGTCTGTTGTACAGAAGTAATAAAATTAATTCATAGCTTATTTTATGTAGATTTTACAACATGGATAAATAGGGCCTATCAATTAAAAAATCGCTAACTAAATTAACAGATTTAATTTGAAAAAATCGTTAATCCGGTGTTTCTAGTTAGCTTATAATAATACTCGTTATTATGAGCTATATTCCAAAACGCGCTTTTAGGAATAATTTTACTAGGAAGGTAAATTAAATTAAACTTATAATATTTCTTCTCAGAACCTCCGAGCTACGGTTTCCAAGGAAACAGATCCTTGTCAAACATCGTGGCGCAATTTCACTCCAGACGTCCCAAGTAATGCCCGGTCCTTCTATCGGTAAAAATATAACAAATATAAAATAAAAATATACATTACAGTTTATTCATTCTTTGAATTGTATCTATGTACTTTAATTTAAAAAGATACATTGATATGTCATTTTTAAAATAGTGTTACTTGTGACCTTGTACCTCTCTCTCTCGATTATGATTAATTTTAAAAGTTGATTCGAATAAACTTAAGTTTAATCGATGGATAGTCCACTAAATCTCTTTAAATTCTTTTGGTGGTCGTACACAAATTCAATAAAATATAGTAAGGGTGGTTTATTACAATCCATAGTTTAGTCTTATTATTATCTTCTTCACTCATTTGTGTTTTTCACTTCGACCAAGTGAACTTAGTTAATGTAGTTGTTAGTTTTTTAGTCTAGGATTTAAGTTGTTAGTCAGTGACTCAGTCGGAAGCGCCACGGACTTCTGGCCCAAGGCAGCGATGTCGTGAATTCGGACCTTGGTACCTGCAACTACATTTTATACACATAGTTTACAGTTGTATTGTATCTGCCTACCCATTGCTTTGCTGGATTCGTTCCGAGCACAAGCCCGCGTCCTACGTTGACGGGAAAACTCAAGATTAGAAGAGGCCGTGAACCTCTCTTTTTTATAAAAGACATAAAACAGGCACAGACTGGCCTTTACGACGGACTGTAAGAAATCATTGGCATAATTTTGTAATATATATCATTAAAATGGTTGTTACCTACCGTAAGATGTAATTCAAAGTACCTACCTGGCCTAGTTCCGTAACCCAACGTAAATAAGAGAAAAAACAAACAAACAAAGCTTGACTATATAAAATGTTTAAATACTTTTTAAAACTTTTTTCTGTTAGGCTATGACTATTGAGGTGACCTTAGTAATTGAATAGTTTTTAGGGTGTCCATAATATCTTACTCATAATTAAATAAACCAATTATAGCTTAACATACTTTTAAACAATTAAAATAAAACTTTAATTTTAATCATGTTGCCAAAAATTTGGCCATAATATTTTTCCGAATATATAACTAAGTGATCTTGACTCAACACAGGCTACTCTTTGGGGTAATTGCAGTTATAAATAAAAAATTGTTGCTATATTGAAGGTCACAGCTAATTTCTAGTTGTAATATTGTAGTTTAACACAACCAATTACAGTAATTAATTTCCGTTATATCACATGAATTTCGGTCACATATAAACGTTATAGCTATTGACCTTAACATAACGAGCAAACTAATATTCTGTGTCAAAATTAAATTGATGTTTCCCACATTGCTGAAACGTTTAAATCACAAAGTGAACAAATTGTATGTAATTTAACCTTTGGCATAAACTATACACACTAATATCGTTGACTTTTGATACAAATATTGGATACTTCAGTATCCAATAGTCAATAGTCAATTAAACATCCCAGGTCTGAAATGAGCAATGTGGATATTATATTGTGTTTGAAATGGCAGAACGTGGAGATATGAGAGGGGTCTACATCGTAACAATCAGCGGGTGACAACAAACATGGAACAAGATAAGATGATCAATCGTCATTGTTGATTGTCTTTTCATAATACATGTCAACAGTAATTTGAAAAAATAAGTTCGAGTTTAAACAGCTCTAACTGTTATATTCTTAGAAATAAAAAAACATGAAATGTTTTTTGCAACAGTTTTGTAGGGTGTGACAATACAGTTATTTAAATCACCAGTCAAGAGATACAAGTTTATTCTGGAGGAGCATGAAACGCTATACACATACCTGAATGTATTCATAAATATCTTCAACTTCGTGTTGGGGACTTTTGTCTATGACAAGGAACTTAAAAGATTCTTTACATGTGTTTTGACGATTTGTTTTAAATTTGATATCACGAGGTAAACCCTTAAGGATTACCAAAGATTGATAAAGCTGTTTTACTAAATTGAGTACCAGTAAAATGTATTGCAGTAAAACATCAAAACTGATCTGCATTGTTACAAAAGTACATCTCAAATATCTTCCAGAGAAATTAAGCAAATTCTTTTTGGGCGAAGGTAAATGCTAGTATCAAAATGTCGATACAGGATGGTCGTTAGATAAGAGTTATCGCATTGGTAGTCTCCTATCAGCAATGCCTGGACATGACTAATGCTTTACACATCCCCAGCTGTTTTATCGCTTAGGTATCAGACTTAATCAGCTGTTACATGTAACTTTTATACGTAAAATAGTAGCTTTATTCTATAAACAATAATATTTCGCTTTTTTATCTCATAAAGCTAAAGGGGTGTAATAACTAGTTTGCAATATTTTGTTAATAATTGTGAGGTATAAGGCAGTGCACAACTAATTACTTGATTTGATAAATTTAAGCGATTCAAAATAAATGCAAACTCTGTGGCTTTACTTGTTGTTGCCCTGGAGACCATTCTATGTTTAGCCACAGAAAACATACTAGACATTTCCAAACTATTTTAGTATTGATAAAAACCTCCAAAATAATCTACATATAACCAAATTTTTCAATTTTAGAAGATTTTCAGCTAATTTGGCCAATATATTTAGTATAATGGAAAGTCAACAAAGCCGATACCTCATTTGTATAGCACATATATGTAATAACACTATTTTCTGACACACATACAAGTTCATCCTTAACTAAATCCTAATGTTATAAATTACTAAAATATTAAAGTTTGTGTAGGATTTTACAACTATAGAGATAGGCAAAGTCAAGTAACATAAAATCATTGAGATTGATTTACGAGAGCATTTGTGAAACAATATTTATTGAGGTAATAGAAAGATGTAATTGGATAAAGTAAAATTATAAACT